TCTGTCTTTGCATTTGCATATGCACTAAAGGAAGCATGTCTATGATGATTTTGTGACCTCGCATAGCTTTAAAAGGAAACTGTCACAACAGATGAAAACTAGGAGGGAAAGTGCTGGACACCTGTAATTATCAGCAACAATGCTGCAGTTCATCAGAATGTGACAGGGCCTCGCACCCTCAGGCTTTGGGCTGTAGGAGTTCCTCTGTGTACATTTTTGTGTCTTTTGCTTTGATCATGATGCAGTAAATTTCCAATTGAAGGATGCTCCTCGGGCAACAAAGATATTTTCGCCTTAGTACATCCAGACCGCTTCTGAACTCTTCTTCTCTCCCTTTTTTTATCTTAATAGAAGCTCTTATGAAAATATGAATACTGTTCGTGCTGGATGTCGTTTTGTCTTCTCTGCCTCATTAGTTAGGGTATCTTGCTATAAATATGGGATATAAAGGATTTCAATTCAAAGCAAGTCTTGCAGGATCTTTTATTGCTCAGGAAATAGGAAGATTCTTCCTTCTAGCTAACATAATTTACAAAGCCAGCCTAACAACTCAAAATAGTTCTGTATCTTACATTAAAAACGCTAGTATCTCATCACTCACTGTTTTTCTTTTTCCCACAGACAAATGGCTGGATGAGTGTGCCTGTTTACAAAGTTACAATTCATTGTGTCAGTGATCATCTGGTATCCTTGGCGTTTGTGGGAAGAATCCTCCTCCAAGCTTGTTCTCTTAAGTGATGACAGGAGCTGAATCTCCCCCACATCCAAATTTTTCACAGCACAACTGTGGGAGACATTAAAGTACAACTGCAATAGTGCGATAGAATGAAAAATAAAAAAAACAGCAGAGAATCATCTTTCAACTCTTCAATATAGTAAATGTTATAACAAAATATTTTTCTAAGATGTTTCCAGTTCTATGCATTGTTCCTCATCCCTCATGGCAGAGCATAGGGCACTGCAAACAGACCTCTTGGCTTTGTCTCTTAAGTCCAATAATTATACAATTTAAAGACGACCCTGACTGGATTTTAATCTAATAAATCAGTTAGAATGAACTAAGTAAAAGTAGTTCAGTAATGAAGGCAATTCTGACAGTTTTTTGCAATATGTAGGTTTAGTTAAATCTTTTTTTGAGTTTCCTCCCACAGTTAGGAGTTCAGAGCTATGCAGTTACTGAGACCCGATGGTGATGTGCGACATCTTGATCTTTAAGAACTGCAAAGTTGTGGCTTTTCAGAAGAAAGGCGTATGGAAAGAAGTCTAGCAAAATATTCACACCACTTGAATGTTTTCATTCCTCCTTATGAATGGTTATAACCAGCAAAGTCAATTGACAGACTTTAACATATATGTATCTATAGAGAAACAAAACAACATAGCACACAAGTATAGGTTGGAAATAAAATTTATATATTTTCAATATTCTATGAATAAAAACCTAAATTGGTAAGATTCATTTTTATTCAGTACTCCTTTGTACCTCTTATGGAAATGCTGTGTAATCCATTTATTTTATTGTATTGGATAGATAAGTTCCCCTCTGCATTATTTTACACAACTGTGACTCCAGTTTTTTATTCTACACACTGTTCAGAGAAAAAAAAAAGTCCTTATAGCAGGCTTAACTTGTAAAACAAGCTAAAGTACTGAATGTTTATCCTGGAGTGAAATATACCAAGATGTAGTCATCAACCTGAGCTCAGAGGTTGAACAAAGAAAGCCTTTTCTGAAAATAAACTTAAAAGCTGGCATCTCTTACCGTATTGCAAGAGAAGAATTTCTGGAACCATTTGGGTGAATCCTAATGCAAAAGCACAGGGGAGACTAACAGGAGTTATTCTGTTCATGAAAAATGGTGTTTTTCAAAACAGCAAAAAGCAGAGGAGCTAACAGAGACCCAGAGGGGCAGCCTGTGGGAGTGGGACTTGAACTCAGAACCTCAGGATTCCAAGCTCTATGCCCTAACCACTAGGCCACCAGTCCCCCGAAGCATCACTAAGGAATTAGACAGAACTACTATATTTTCTGTGACTGCAGAACATCGGCGTAGTAAAAAAGTTGAATTTCATCACAGAAAACTGGCTCTCTGCATCTAATGGCACACTACCTAGAAAAGCTGCACTTGCAGGGATTAATTTTAACCAATTTAAGTATTAGGCTATAAAAATATTAGGCTATAATAAGGATTCCCAAGAACATAATGCTCTCTAAAGAAAATAACGATTCTGATGTTGTGAAGCAGTTTGAAATGTCTCATAATCAGATTTGATCAACTTTAAACTAAAATATGCAATTTTAAATCCTCACAAAGATAATCTAATTTCAGTTTTACACTACAGCAGCTTAAGGTATTACAGCGACAGCTTCTTTATTCAGTAGTACCCCAAAAGAGCTGAGAATCATAGTCGGCATGTGTGAGAGTTCCCTGACTACTTATGTCAATGGTTGGTATTCACACCCAATCCATCAACTTCTGACCTTGGGAAAAATGGATAACAGTTTTTTGGCACAATCCTGTTTCACTCCATAATTTAATCTGAGAGGCCCAGTCCCAGAATAAGTTATGGAAGGCTAAGATACAAAGATACATCTAAGAGGAGAAAGCACGGAGGAGGAGAGAAAATGAACAAATGAGGAGAGAAAGGGAGTGCCTGGGAGATATTTGGTCCCATTTGTTAGGTCTTAGTGAGAGTGTTTGTGTGCGAACACCCAGGTGCTTCTGTAAGTGTCTTTAAATGCAGGCTTGAGATTCAAAACACCGGTTTATAATATTACACTACAGGGAGTGTGCGTGTGTTTCCTGTTCTTTGGAAAAACTGGCTAAGGCACTGCTGGACTGAAAGGGACACTTAGTATATTGGATTAAGAACAATAGTATGCATTTGGGTGTTACAGTATGTAATTGTCCTACTCAAGCCAAATTAAAAGGGTCTTGGAAATATATCAATATGCATGAGAAAACAACTCTAAAATTGAAGCAGTGATCACTGGAACAAATACAATAATTTAGTATAAGAGAAATTATGATTAAAAGAAAAACTCTTAATTACTCATTTTATTATTTGTTCAATATCATTTTTTTTTGCTTTGAAGTGTATTAAAAAAAATAAAAGGATGTCTGAGCATTTTCATAGCGCTTAGGATTGCTTTAGTTTGATTTAAGGAATTATAAGCAATGTTGAAAGGACAAATTCATTGATACTTAAAGGGCAAAAAAGCTTCAGCATAGATCAAAATTAATAGAGAATATATTCCTCCTTGCTTGCAGGAATATCAAGCCTGAAGCTCAACTTTCCACCGACACTGAGAAGAAACACAGAGGATGATTGCAGAGGTTTTTATATGTGATGTCATTACTGCGTACTGCAGACACATTTTCTACAAAATTTATATATATAAATTTACTGCTAATCTGTTTTTCACATTTACAGTATTAATTTATTTCTTTTAAATGTGTAAATTGTAAGTTACCTTTTTATATCCTGCTTTTAATCCAAAAACGTTTAAGTTTTACTTAATTCTTTATGGACTCCTTATGTGCATCTGCATTTTTTTCTGCTGATACCTGACCAGGCAGATTTAAAGATAAAACTAGAATGGGAGACAAAAAGTACTTTCCTTCTACATTTTCTTAGAAATGTCTCTCCTCATTGATGTTAAATAGTGTATTCAAAGAGAAGAGGGTTACAATTAACCTCTTCATGCTTTCAGACAGTGAGAGCAGGTCCTATCTGTTTAAACAGCTGTTTTCCTTGACAAACATTGCTGTGAAGCCATGTTGTGTATAAAGGCAGGTTAGGAGGAGCTGTCACTCCTCGCTATAGTCTGTAAAGAGCATTAATTGTGTTACTCTGAAACGTGAAGTGATTTTCAAACCATGCCATCTTTTCAGAGATGGCTATGATTCTTAAACACACCTTCCAGTTCATTACTCCCAGTTTTATTTTCCCTATCAAAGTGTCCTTAGTCATGCATCATTTGCAGAATTCCAAAGCATCACTCTTGCAGTTGTTTGGATGCAGGCTGTGCACCTTGTGGTTCAAGAGCCTTTTTTTTCCAAGTCTAAAGGGTCAAAGTTGAAATCTGCACCTGTGCTAAAGACAAAACAACTGTACCTGCCTCAAATGATTAACAAAAGACTGCAGACAGACTACCGGGAAACAAAATGTCAGCTTTAGAACAAATGGAGCTTCCACTGGGCTGGAGCTGTAAATTTCTATGATCTTTAAACAATTTCTTTTAGGAACTGGTTTAAATTGCAGCCATAAAATATATCTCAGGAGTTGTAACAAAGTGATCTTCATTAGTGCCTGAAAAGTATTATTACTATTACTTTAGTAGTTCCTTTGAAAGTTAATGTTAAACAGATTTCAATAATGCTAATTGTTTGCACAGGAACTTTGAATTACTTACTGCATACTTGATGTAATGACTAGCATGTTGCTTTTAGTTTAATGCCATGCACTGACATGCTCCTCATGCAGGCAGCAGTTGCGGTGAGAAATGTAATAACTTGGAACAAGTAAGGTTTCCTATTTTGTATGAGGAAATGTTTTTGTGATAAAATCCTGTTAGGATGATTAATCAAAGGGGTTTGAGCCTAGAGATAAATTAAAGGCTTCAAAAGGGGCCATGGGTTTTTTGTTGTTTTTATAAAGGTTCGGTTTTAAGATACAACTTAATCAATATTAAGTTATAAAATGCATCTTTTTGTATAGTTATAATGTACATATAGACATGGAAAAGAGGACTACGGATTGTGGGATGATGGAATTTCAAAAACCTGGCACTCAACAATATTTTCATTTTTCCTGTTGCATGGTGTGACATGTTCATTACCCATGGAGCTAAGCTAAATATATCTTTATGGATAAATAAACTACTGTGTCTTTCATAGTACTCTGGACCAGCCTTCATCTGCACTATATATCCAGCCATGAAAACTCAGAGAATAAATGCATCATATTTAATAACAAAAAAGGAGAAAATTTCTCTATGTTGATCTTTGAGCAGAGCTCCACTGCTGAGGTTTTATTCAGCCTGTGCAATTCAGTGTCAAAAAAAAGTCAGACATCAGCCAGTAAGAATAACAGCTTCAAGTTATGAAAGTGAAATGTTATGTGATCGGGTCATCTTGTGGTTGCAGTAAATACACAACTTTCTCACAGCTGCTGAGAACAAACATTTAACCTCAGTAGTTTACAGACTGAAAGAAAAGTAAATCAATCAGTACGTATTACAGCAGTAAGGAAAAGGAAAAATACATTCAATCTAAGCTTTGAATCAAATGATTACCCATAATAAACAAACATAAGGTTGAACTTTAAAGGGTATTTCTCCAACAGGTTGTTCATAGTTGTTTTTTTTTTTTTTACTATGACATAAGAAATAGGTGAAATAAAGATTAATTTGTAGCTTGAAATATCAAACAGTGGATTCCTGTTGTTCAAAATAGCTCTGGGAATCTCCTTCACTGATCAATAAATTTGTAGGTTATTCTATAATAGTCTCCAAGAAAGTAATTGATTGAGGTAAGTGATTAAGAACTGATTTTAACTTAGTCTTATATAACAATTTGAGGGATTTTTTCTCAGGTTTAGGATGCTTGTCCCAAAAAACTGAATAATTTGTATTGTAGATTCAACTGAGGTTTTTTTTTTTTTTTGCAGCTTGATCTAGTTTATTTAATGAAATTGAAGCAGAAAGATTAAGGTTCATGACACCAAAGCCCAGACGTGACTGCCACCTGCTGGTTATGCATGTGTTTTCTGCTCTAATGCAGTTACTTTTAAATGATGAAGCTATATACTACCATGAAAATGTTGTTTCCTATGCTGAAATGTTTAGAGGGTTTAAAACTACAAGTGTCTTTCTTAACTGCCCTGTCTGAGAAGGTTCGGACAACTGAGGCATGTTTAGTCTAGTTTAATGTGCGTATGTGGCCACAGCCTTGCCAGATGTTTAAGAGGTGATGAAACTGACATGAAACCTACACCTCAGCCTTCATATGCTGAACTTTCATATTGTTGTGCTGGTGCTTGGTAAGTCCATATTTAAAGAACTCATACACCGACCAGCTAATGGCTGTGGAGGGCATCTGATAGATGACCCTAGCTTGGACTCCTCTAAAGAAGCCCTGCAGGCCGCCCAGCCTGTACACTGTCCTGAAGGCATGGACCAAGCCTGAGATGCGTATGTGGGCTCCTTGGCTTTGGCCGGAGGAGCGGAGAGTGTGGAACTCCTGGGTGTTGAGGAGGGTCTTGCAGACGTCCAGTGGCGTTGTTGCTGCCGCTGCGATCGCTCCGGCCAAGGCTCCTGACAGCATGTGGGATGACGGATTGTACAGTCTGTGGGGGTTGAGCTGCTCCTGGAGGTGCTCGTAGGTCATGAAGTGGAGCGCCTGGAAGGGCACGTTCATGGTGAGCTGTGTGGAGTAGCTGCGGTAAAAGGCAGCAGGACCCTCTCTTTGCCACACAGTGCGAACACAGTCCAACACGCCCCTGTAGGGGGACTTATACATCTGCATGCGCTGCTTCACCACTGGGAGCACGTGGATAGATGTGTTGATGAAGGAGAGGGCCAGGTAG